TGTTTCAAGGTGACCGAATCCCATAATAATCTGTTTTTCTTTTTTGAGGTGACTTGGAGGCTTTCGTACAGATTCTGTGGTTCTAGTTAGGTTGCGTTCCCTTACCTTAAGTGTTTCTCTCTTTCCTTAAGGAAGGTGGGAAGAAGAAGGAATTTTGTGTGCCATGGAGAGAAACTATTTTAATGGGGTTTGGCCAGATAGGGGGACACTCATGGGGTGGCTGGTGGCTGAGGTCTGCTGCTGGCTACGAAAGCCAGTTTTATGGGCTGGTGGCGGGTCTTTTGGTAGCTGGCTGCTGGCTGCTGGGTGGTGGTAGCCGACAATGAAGGCGCTCCTTAGGTTTTGTGACTTATTTTGGCAATGAAGGCCAAATAAAGTTTGTAAAAGAGTTTAAGGTTTTTTTTTGACCAAGAGATATGAGACGATATGGAGAATAAAGTGTGTATTTTATTGAATAATAAGGTCCCATATATACAGATTATAAATAATAAAAGGAAACACTACTAATTATGTGAGAGAGGTATATTTCTAATGTATCATTTACTCTACTTACTATGCAAATACACTTGCCAACAGAATCAATATTTTTGGATGGTCTTTGTTGTGACCATGGTTGTTAGCAAGCTTAATACTAATGATTTGCTCCAAGCTCACGGGCTGAATTGTACTATAGATCCACTTAGAGAGTGGGTTGCCATAACCGAATGTGTTGACAGGAAAGCCTGAAGGCTATTCCCATCCCTGTCAGGAGAGATGCAACCATCTCTCCTGTCTATGAACACCTCACAGGCTGAATGATACTTTGTTCCTTTATGTGTGTATGATGTATTCTTGCGATGTTTTTTTTTTTTGAAATAAATGTATTCTTGCGATGCTGAGTCCCATAGTCATCGTTTCTTGGATTTGGATGACGCTTGAAGAATTCAGATTCATATATTTGACACTTTGGGTGTTGTTGGGTTTTTCCTCTGAATCATGAGGGTTATATTACTTCTTCTCTCTGTGGTGTTGGAAAGAGGAAAGAAGATAGACTGTTCTGAGAAGGATGATGTTATTTGGGCATTGTGGGTGTTTTGTCTGGAGAGGATGCAAGGATTTTTAAGGATCATTACTCTATCTCTTTGTTTCTCTGAGATAGATTGTTTTCCTGGCATCTTTTTTGGCCAAGGCTCATGTGTGTTTATAATGATACTTCTTTGTCTAATTTATAGGTTTTTGGCTGGCAATTCTATGTTCAGTAGTTTTATTGCTTATGCCTTTTTCTTTTTTGCCCCCCCCCCCCTTTTTTTGCAAGGGCATTTAGTCCTCCTCTGTTGTACATTCTATTCCTCTAAAGTTATACATATATATGTATATATATTTATATGCTAATATTGATATATTAAAAATAGAGTTCATCAATCTTTTCTTGACTTTTGGGTTTAAAGTCGTTTTTTTTTTGCACAAAAATTTTGCAGGTGGAGTTTTCTCCAAAGACCTATAATAGAAAAAAGAAAGTAGAAAAGGAACTTCGTAGATTAACAATTATAACGAATCATGGAAGATGCAAAGGAATAGAGGAAAAATTAGTTTCTCCTTATGCTAGTTTTCGGATGATTTTTATGTAAGCTTTCAGATGGATCTAATGTGTTATATGTAGAACATTTTATTTAAGAGTTTAACAATTACAGTGACTGTCTGTTTTAGTTTTATCTGATACAGTGGTCAGGGGAAGTCTGCACGTTC